GTCATTTCCTTCATTTCGTTTTGGATTTTTGGAGCACGGTTCTTGGGCGATTTTTGGGCGATTTTCACGGAAAAATATTGGGATAAGTGTTCCTTATTCTATATTGTTTATATTTCATGATTCCCTACTCATTTACATCATGAATCCGTGAATTTATGGAAGAAAAATCAAGATTTTTGCAAAATCTTCCAAAAACAAAAATTTAAGATTTGGAGGTCGAGTTGTTATCAGAATTTGATAAAATTGATATGGGTGGACTCGTAATTGAATGGGTTATCGGATTTTATAAGTTTTGCCGGATTCCGAGATGTGGGCCCCACGGGCAAATTTTGAGCTAATTTCGGATTTAATTGAAAAATATAATATTTTCTTATGAAATTGATTACTATAATTTTTGTTGACAGTATCGAATTAATTATGATTAGATATGAGTCGATCGGAGTCAGAAAATCGAGGAAAAGGCTTAATACTTGGTTAAATTTGAGCAAGTAGAGGTAAGTGACTTGTCTAACCTTGTGTGAGAAAAATTCCCCTAGGATTGATAATTGTAATGTATGAAAAGTCGTGTACACGAGGTGACGAGTGTGTACACGTGCTAAATGTAAAAGATTATGTTTTAAATTGTGTAGATCATTGTTGCGCATTAATAAAATTATTTCATTTTGTTATATTCTTCATTATTGATTTAATGTTTATATTTTTAAATTTGCTTGACCTTTTCCTGCTAATTATTTTATCTGTTTAGTTGGAACTTGGTTTCTTTTATTCTGTGCATTATTTGAAGGTTGATTTTCTTTAAATTAAATATTATTAATATGAAGTATTTGACATTTTTAAACTTGATATTGAAGCAAAGTATTAAAGATTTTGAAACATTATTTTCCTGAATTATTTACTCCTGAATATTTTTGTAAGATTTTTGTACTCATTGTGATGGAGCAGTGNNCGCGGCACCTCGGGAGTGCCCTTGTTGATATTGATTTATGGTCGCAGTTGCCTTTGATTATTGTGTGATTTTTTTAAAGTTAAAAAAAATTCTATTTTGTTTCCACGAGGTATTTATTTGCCATTATTTGATATAATTAAATGTGACATACTATTTCATTCATTTCTATTGTTATTTTATCTTATAATATTATTTAAAATTTTTATCATGCCATTATTTATTCTCTAGTAAGGCCTGACCTGACCTCGTCACTATTCTACCGAGGTTAGGCTTGGCACTTACTGGGTACCGCTGTGGTGTACTCATACTACGCTTCTGCACATCTTTTTGTGCAGATCCAGGTACATTTTATCAGACCATGCATCAGTAAACTAGCTGTACGAGGAGACTTCGAGGTATATCTGTCAACGCCCGCAGACTCCGAAGTCCCCTTCTATTCTTATTATGTTGCTTCTTTATTTTCTTTAGACTCTGTTATATAGAGATATCGAGGATAAATTCTTAGAAGCTTGTGACTT